CCCCACGGAACCGCTAGCACTGACGGACCTCCAGAAATGCCACCCAGACCCCCAAACGCTCATGCTCTCGATCCAGCCCATCCCCTTCTAGACCGTTCTAAAGAGATCATGTGAACCTCCGACAAAGATTTGGTAAGAGTGAAAAAGCAAGGAAACGTCAAGAGCCGTGCACAGTAAGAGGAACAGGCTGAGTGCAGGCGATGTAGGAATATGCCGGTGTTACGTGGAAAATGGACAGTTCTAGGTTTTCTGTGACTGTCATCACAACGAGTGACCGCGCCGGCCCCAAGAGGGACAGACAGCAGGACTGTCATGTGGGCGGAGCGGGTGGCGTCCCCACCGAAATGGCACCTAGTCATTGCGCTTTCTTCTTTTATGCTTAAACGAAGCTTTTCACTTAAAAAAATTCTGTAATCCAATCAAGAAGCCTTTGGTCAAAGGCCTAAAACAAAGACAACCAACCACTGGAAGACGCAGTGAAGTCCCCTGAAGACACCAAGGGCCCCCGTCTTCCCCCCATGGCGGGGGAGGAGGGCCAGGCCGCAGGCAGGAGCCTGGGGGACGGAGACGCCTCCCGAGGACAGGGGGCTGGCAAGGCGGCCGGGCGAGCTCGTGCCACCACCAGTGCAGAGCAACAAGACTCGGCTGGTGGCACGGTGGCTGGGCCCTGGCGGCAGCGGTCACTCCAGCGGAGGGACGACCCTGTCCGGACCCCGTGGCCGAGGTCGTGGCTGGTGGGATGACAGTCCCCCCGGCAAAGGAGCCTCCGTGCTGGAGGCACAGGGGACGCCCTTGCCAGCCACGTGACAAACACGGCTGGTGCCCTGGGGACAGAAGACTGCAGGAGGCCCCGGCAGGACACCAGCGGTGGGATCGGCACACACGGCAGGTCGCACCCATCAAAAGGCCATCGAGGACGTGGAAGAGGCTTGACATGGCCCGTCCCCCAGGCCCCAAACCCACTTTGGGCTTTCGTCCTGGATTTTCACCTCCAAGACACGTCTCGGGCAAGAGTTTTGATCGAGTGACCAAGTCAGTGGGATTTAAGGAGCTGTGGGTTTGTGTTTCCTGCAGGCCCCTCCCGTTCTAACACTTCAAGAGAAAGCACTCCACACGCGTTGTGGTTCCCTCAGCAGCACCCGGGGGCTGACACGGCACGTCAGGGCTCCAGGCGAGTCCCCCTGACTGAATGGGACCGCCCAGCACTTCTCGAACGTGCTCTCCGGGTCCCGCAGTCAGAACCATTTGTGCGAAGTGCTTCCTTACATTCCTGGCAGACCGGGAAAAGTCCAACTGATCCAATCTAGTGCCCTTATTTCTGAAGTGAGAAGCCATGAGAGGATTTGGGAACGCAGGGGAGCCCTGGGCAGACGCTGGGCCACAGCCGGCAGGCAGAGCGGGACCACACCGGGGCTCCCCGAGCAGGAGAGACAGGGATTCCCGTCCTTGCCCCCGGTCGGCGGCCTCCCCCTGCAGCGGCCCCAGGCGGGGAGGGCAGCAGGGAGACGGCAGGGCTGACCTTCATCTCCCCCTGGGGCCTCAGGGCCCAGCTCCGGACTCGGGCCGGCCGCCACGACCTCTCTGGTCCCAGAGGCAGGTGGCAGAGTTTCCATGACAAGGCAGGGCTGGAAAGGGCTGGGGACACCGCAGGAGCGCAGGGCCCCCCTGCCTGGGGAGGGGCTGTGATCGGCTGACGTGGGGGAGAAGAGAAAGTCAAAGGCACAGCCTGGCAGGAAGAGCAAGGTGACCGGGCCCAAGCCCTCCTGGTGTCGCACGGGGACCTGACCCGCTCATCGGGGGCCAACCAACTTTCTAAACAGGCAGGACGGAGGGTAGGAAGGTGAAGACCGGCCACGCCACTGCGGGTCAGAGCGGGGCGTGTGTCCCAAACAAGAATTTGGGTTTCTTGTTTTATAAAACGGGGACACCACCACCTGCCTCGCAGGACAGCTGTGAGGAATAAATGAGATACCACGAAAAAGGCACCGAGTAGAAAGGTTCACTAAACACGTGTCAGTAAATGGGAACTTAGTTTAAATTACACGCAGACTGAGCAAGGCCAACACAAAAGAAGGATAACGAAGAAGCTAGGAAATTCTGGTAAAAACGGCCAGAAAGCACACGCAGCTGATGCAAACAGCAACCAGCACAAGTACAGGGCCTCAAAGGCCCAGAAGACTCTAGCTACAAGAGAGGAAGGAGGAGCGGAAGGACGGACAGACAGTATTAGACAAACTGGGGCCGCAGGAAGCTCTGGGCCGAGAGAACAGGGGTCTCGGGGACCCGGCCCCCCAGGCGCCACCGTCCCTGCGCAGGGGCCACAACCGCAGCAGGAAAGGTCCTGTCTGCAAACCGCTAGCCCGGCAGGCGGCCTCCGACCCGATCCTCTGACTCACGGACAGAACTGATGTTAAACAAGGTCTTAAGACGGATTCAGCTTAGAGCCAAAAGGATATTCTGTCAAATCCAAGCACCAACGTCAGGTCAAACGCACATTTTCAAAAGAAAACAGAGTCCCCTTATAAGGTCCAGGGGTTACCAGCAGAGACACTCTTCTCTATGCGAAGTGGTATTGTGGCAAAATTGGGCCTGGGTATTAAACGTCTTTATCAGTGCTTTAGTAAGTAAATAACGTACAGATTTACTTACCTGCAAATAGCCTATAGGTTCTGTGGCATTTAAAATTCTTATTTTTAACCCCTGGAGAAAGCAGTTCTGAAAAACAAAATATCGACAGCTGCAATCTGTAAAAAAGCACTTATAGAGAGGCTCAGGGTGACAGAGACGAAGAGGTGCCGACAGCCCCGCTCACATGCGCCCCCTGGCAGACCAGGAAAACAAAACAAACTCCAGGCCTCCCTGGGCGCAAGCGCTGCCCAGGAGGGAAACCGGCTGTGCGACGCGGGAGCGCCCGGACCCGGCAGCCAGTCCGTTAAGAAACAGGGGAAATACACTGAGCCTGTTAAGCTCATGCCAGAAACCCCTTAAAAGCAGACATGCTAAAAAACGGAAAAGAAAGCCGCCCACTTAGAAACAAAATGGCCCGGGGAAACGAAGAGTTGAAACGTTTTACAGGCGAGGGAGGCCGCAAAAGTTCCATTATGTAAGAGTAAGACGGTCCCTCCAAAGAGGCACTGTCCCCCTGCGGGAACGGCTCCCCGCAGATGCACCCTTCCGGGAGCCGCTCGCCACCGGCTTCTCCCCTACCCCCACCCTTGACCCACGCCAGGGCCTCTGGTCCTCGCTTATCTCGTTTCTCTTTCTGGAAAGCACTTCAGGTGGCAGCTGACACGAAGACCACGCGTGACAAGCAAGACAACACGAGCTTGCTTTCATCAAAACGCGTCGAAGCTGAGGGGGCCCGGTTACCTGACGGAGACTCGGGGCGGACAGGGTGCCACAAACCTGACACGTGTCATTGCAACCGGAGGTCGGAGGAACGCCCAGGGGCCTATGGGAAACGTCCCTTCACTTCACTAAAAAAGTCCATTTAACAGGCCGGTACGTGCGATTCTTAACGTTTATGAAGAAAACCGTTTTGGACCACTGATCCACAAGGTATTTCCAGAAAGACGATGCTCATCTTAATGGACAAAATCTCCTCCGGTTTTACAATCTAGTAAGATCATACGGTTTATTCACTTTTTGCCTTTATCTTTCAAGAGCTACCCTGGTGCCAATTTGAGCATCAAAATCCGTTACTAATCGAGAAATCTAAAACCAAACCGTCACGAGAGAGAACCTCCTGACTCCGGCATCTCGCAGAAACGCCGGGCGCCAAGCGCCCGGCCTCCCGGGGGAGCGGGCACCACGCACGCGGTCTCCGTCCGCGGCCGTTACCTTTGCTGATCTCCAGGTCCACAGGATACTCGACGCTCTTGACGAGCTTCTGACACCCGCCGGTCTTCTCGTAAACAAACCGCTTCAGGTGCAGCACGAGCACAGGAGGGAGCTTCTCCAGAGTCACCCTTCGACTGATCTCCACCTAGGGCACAGAGCAGAGCAGGACGCGCGTCCCTCACTCCACGCGGCAGACGCCACGTCCGTCCCCCAAGAACCCCCTCCGGGAGCCGACGGCCTGCGGCTCCGCGGCCCCGTTCCCCACTCGGCCGGGTCAGGGGAGCGTCTGAGGATCTAACATCCCGCCAAGAGGTCTCGCGAGAGCCACCCGCACCCACACTCCCCGCGGGAAAGCACGCACGTGCCTGCAGACACAGCGGCACGGGGCGCCCCGGCTCCGCGGGCCCAAGCGTGAACTCCGCGGCAGGAAGCCCTGCTCTGGGGTCGGTTAAGCATCAGACTTCCGGTCGGGTCACGCTCTCACGGTTTGTGAGATCGAGCCCACATCGGGTGAGCCCCGCTTCTCTCTCTCTCCACCTCTGTCCCTCATGAGATTCTCTCTGCCCCTCGCTCACTCGTCCTCTCGCTCTCAAAAACAACAAAACAAAAACCTGTTCTGTGACATTAATGGCAAATTGGCACAAAAATTAACAGCTAACTCGGCAGTGGCACCTCGCATTATGTACGTATTAACGTGCTTTTTAGTAACTCAAACCGAAGCCAAAGTGTTTCTCAAATTAGGTGTTCTACGTAACCCAAAAGCTATCTCTTGTAACCATTAGCTTCGCAGGTTTGTTTTATCAACTTACACGTCTCTCATCTGCTTCCACAGGTCCAATGAATGCTGCGCTTCATTAAAAATGCATCCTTGCCAACAATGCCTATTACCTTTATTTGCCGTTCTTTAGAATTATAAACTCTTGGATGCTCCCTGTATTTAGATGAAGAATCCTTTTGGTAGAAATGCCCGTTCGGGTGACCGTCGGAAAGAGAACAGCGGAAGCGAAGTGTATGGCAACGTTCAGAAGACCGTATGTGCATCTGGGCAGAGGTGTCCTAATGGGTGCCCGGCTTCCCACTCAGGCTCAGATGCCAGGCGGGGAACCACCCGACCCGCCTCTGGATGCTCATCACGGGTCTGGAGCCCGGTGTCTCCGTACCCGAGGAGGATGTGCAAGCGATCGGAAAGTGTGGCTACGGCCCAACAGCAAGAGACCGAGATTGTGGCAAGAGGACTCCAGCGTCCCCGCGCGTGAATCGAGGGCTGGGCAAATGCATCTCTGGGATGCTCTCCGAGCCAGGGACCTAGGACTCTGACCTCAGACTTTCGGGCAGTTCACTAAGTGGCTAATCGGAAATTCTTCCGTGTGTTTTGGGTTTCCACACAAACTTGACACACTTTTCTTCACACAACAAAACCAGACCCGTTCCGCACAGCAAGTGTTTTCTATAGTCCTATTTTCCCATGGGCCTTCGTCAAGTGGTCCCACAGCAAAATAAATCTCATGACCTTAAAACACAGTAACGTCAAACTCGGTATTTTAAAAAGTCCATTCAAAGAAAACACATTCCAGAAAATGTGATACTTGCTCTTTCTGGATATCCCCGCCCCATACGAACCGTCCAAGATCTCCCTTTCTCAAACGTCTGCTTTTCGGAGAGTTTTCGCTCTTCTCGGTAACATGCCACCGCCATCACCGAGCCGGGACACGCAGCGTGTTGCTTCTTCCTCTTCGAGGCTCTGCCAAAGGGCCTCTTTTTTCCTGCGTCCTTCTCCCCGCTCCCCCCAGCCATCTGGAATAAACCACTTTCTTTCTTCTCACATCCCCTACCTCGATCTCATCTGCACCCTCCCGACGTGCACGCGTCACCGCAGCAGGAACAAGAGAGGAAAAGACGCGTGAGGGGGCGGGGGCGAGGTCTGCAGGATGAGTGGCCACCAACCCCTGCAGGTGGCTGCGGGAGAGCGAGCGAGAGAGGCGCTGGGGGGTGGGGGTGGGGGTGGGCAGGACGGCGACTCCACCTCTGGAGCCGCGGCTGCCACACAACGAGCCAAGTACACGGCTCAGCCACACCAACCGACCTCCTGGAAACAAATACCCACTTTCTCTCTCATTAAGTTCCACCGCCAGACTCGGCTGATTCACTTAAGCCAAGCGCCGAGATTCTGTCTCTCGCTCCTACCGCTTTTCTTGTTTAAACAAAATCGCCCGTGGGAAGCAAGTCAGAAAACACGGGAGGATCAGGCCAAACCACGTGCCCATCTCCCAAGAGGAGGCTTGACCGGTCCAGGCGGGAGGCCCCAGGGGAACCGCAGGCGCCCAGGTGCTCCTCTGCTCTGCTCCCCGTGAGCCTTCAGCCACCACAGCCTTGTTGAGTCACGCTCCCCAGGGATACTACGAGCTGTCCAGACAGGTGCCGCCCGTAACTAGCCTGCGTCCATCTGTCACGTTTCTCTGAACTCACCAACCCCGAGATCACCAGCACGATCTCGGCAGCGGAGACGACACCCTCCTCAACCCCGGAGTGGAAACAGCGGCCGCTGGCACATCTGGACCCCAGGCACCAGGAAGCGCTCCGGGAGCAAACACTCCAGCTCTCTCCTGACTCGGCTGACAGGTACCCCGCACGAAGCCATCTGCCTCTCTGACTCCCGAACACTGAAGACTCAAAGACTTTCCTCCTGTCCACATCCGATTAAAGACTAACACGCAGGAAAACAGCTACCTTCTAATTGTTTTTGATCTCCTGGAAGACCTACAACCAAATGCTAAATAGACGTGTTTGGAACCTCTTTTCTGGCCTACCTAAGCTCACGAAATTATGCTCTGTGACGTCAGAAGCTGCTCGGCCTCTGTTCGACGTGGTGCTGACTTTATCATACCACGATCGCACTAGCCAAGTTACACAGCTCAGGACAGACGCTCCCGATGACCGTCACCCTGGGCTACGTGAAGTGGTGTCAGGACCAGCCATTTCAGCCGTCCCATTGTAAACACGTGGAAACTTTCAGTGCGAAACAGTGAAGCAAGGGGCCTGAGAGGCAGAGCGCGGACCCGCTTGCGCCGCGCGCTCTTTCCACCAGACCGGGGCGCCTCGGCACACACGTTCAAGACCAACTATGGCTGTACCTCTTGTTTGGTCTTTGTGGTATAACCCTGGACAGATTCTCTCGCCACCAGGCTCTCCAATGCGTCCTGGACCGTACGTATCTTGTCAGACTGGATGTCCAGCTGCAACGTGAAGAAGGGCTGCAAAGTGGCGGATTCTCTGGAACTCTGCTGGTAGACCACAGACCTGCGGGTTGGAAGACACGACCAGACAACTGTGAGACAACGCTCCTTCCCGCCTTCCCTCAAGATCACCCAGCGGCAGAAGAGGGATTAACGCAGGGAACGAGGTTTCTCAGGACCACTCTCAGAAGGCCAGAGAGGGAAAAGAGCCACAAATGTACCGAAGTTAAAAACAATCAGGTGGGAAAAATAAATAAATAAAATAAAATAATGACACCAACTACTGGTGGAAAAAAAAAATTAGGCTGGGAAAAAAAAATAATGACACCAACTATTGGTGGGAAAAAATAATCAGGCGGGAAAAATAAATAAATAAAATAAAATAAAATAATGACACCAACTGTTGGCGGAAAAAGAAAAATAATAATCAGGCTGAATACCACCTCCTGAGTATTTCTAAGCAAAAGCCCACCAGTTCAGCGGATCGCGTTCCCGGCGCAAGCACACTGGAAGAAAACCTACTTCATCTTGCAAATTCCTTCCCTTCCACTCCACACTTTATCTAATGCACCAGTTAGTAACTGCCCTTATCCTGCCATGGCCTCAAAACGCTGACACTTCTCATCTTCGTAAAGTGTCAGAGCCGTTCTAATAAAAGAGAGGAAACCCCAAGGTAAACAATATTTTTAATGGCATTCTTCCCCTATGAAAATGACTTACAAAAGAGAAGCAGGGTGTGTCTAACAAAAACTAAGCTAACATTCCAGGAAACAAGGCTACCTACCACCCTCAAGAAGAAGGGTGCCAGTTCGACCTTGTTTTCTTAGCTGGTTTTTCATTTCATTTTTCTCTGAGTTTCTCTGAGTAAAACTTGTGTGCTCAGCCCATCTCCCGTTTAGCCCCGGCAGGGAAACATTCCAGGCGCGCAACGAGAATTCTGCTTCTGCAGCCCGAGTGACCCGGTTTACGAAAGGAATCAGATGGGTGCCTGGGGATTCAGACTTTGCAGAGCAGGTGCCCCCAAGAGCGAACTAAACGCTCCTCTGCCTCGGGCTTCACGTCCACACGCGCTCCCCTGCCACATGGACCAGGAAGCATCTTGGTGCTCCCTCCGAGGGCACAGACTCGAGAGCCACGGCCCTTCCCCTGGTTCCAAGAGCAACGGGGGAGGGCGGTCATTAAAACTGGTGGCGGAATCAAGAAGCGGTCCTCCGGACTCCGACGGCCTCGATTTTATTCAAGGCTCCGAACGGGCGGGGGGAAAAGGGTGAAGAAAGGTGATGGTTTCTCCAGGGGGAGTGAAAACCCACCCAAGGAAGGTGGATTTGCAAAGAAAACCACACTTCATGATGGCTACCACACACAAAGTTCCTAAATTTTAAGAAATCATTCCAACCTTTGTTTTGTTAGTTCTCCAAAGTATCAACAAGCCGTTTCAACATTTAAAAAGCCCGCCAAGGCCAAAGCCAGAGGTCCTGCACGGCAGGGCCGTGCACGCCGAGCTAGAATTTCCTCCAAATCGGATGCTGGTTATTCTCAAACAAACGTGAGATCTTGGGGTACGCTGGCCTCAGGAGCCTTGCACGTTCCACCTACGCGCACACACACGGTGCTGTCACGCCCACTGGGCTGGCCCAAGAGCACGGACATCAGGCTGCCGGTCTCACGCAGAGCCAAGGGCACAAGATGGCCTTCTCTCAGTGCCGTGCCTGACCTGGATCCCAGCTTCCCTTCCCGAAACAGCCCAGCCCAAGGAATCGTATCCACAACACCAAGTCACAGGGGCGGCAGTCCCCAGGGCACACCTGACCACAAGGCTGACGTGGAGACGTCACAACGGAAGGGGGCCCGGCGGCTCTAGCGCACAGTGGGGAGCCCAGAAAGGACTCGTTCAAGGGGACAAGGCGGCACGACTGGCTTCTGGATCCGGCGCGGCAGAGCAGCACCGCGCGGGGCCGTGAAGGAGCCAGTGGGCGTGCGGGGGTTGTATCAGCCTCGCTGAAGGGGGCTCGACCTAAGCTGTGGGGCAGGGCGAGCCCGAACTGACTCTGCCTGCCTCTGCCTCGGAAAGGGGGTCACTTCTTCTGGATACACGGCATTCGGGACAAGCAAAGGCTGCGTCTCACTACGAAACCCCCCTCGTGGGTTCCAACGCCAGGCCGTCCGCGAGGAAACCCTGCTCCGGGGGCCCTTCGGGACTCTGGACGCTTGGGCCTCCCTGGAGCCGGCCCCAGCGCTCCTGAGTTCCACATCGAAGCGGCAATGAATGTCTGTCTCTAATGCACTCAGACAGAACTCTTCTAGAAGGAGGTCATTAAAGAGCAATGAGCATCTGCTTTATGGGAACTGGGCCAGAGGAGGGAACCCAGGCCCTCCAGGAGGCCCCGCGTCCCCCTTTGTGTGAAAGTATCTCCCTCCACGCTCCCTCACGTTTCTGGCTCACTCGGTTCCAGAGCCTAAAATTCCTCTAGCCAGACACAGAATTTCTTCTCTTAACAGAACCTGCCTGCCAACTTAACAAGTCTTTCTCTTTCTACCTAGCTGTGAGCGGCTGGAGCGCTGACGGAGGGAGGAGTCAGGAGGGCAGCAGGGCCTGGGGGACGGCGGCAGTGCCCGGGGCCGAAGGGCCTTGGTGCCGGGCGAGAGCAGTTGAAAGCACCAGGCAGGAGAGGCGCAGGGACGGCGGGGGACACAGCAGGCACAGGGGCGTCGAGGCAAAGCGTCGAGCCCAGAATTCCTCAGACACGTCTTCCACCCTCCCCCTTCGGCCAGATGGCAAAACCCTGAGAGAGGCCAACACTCCGGCATATTCCAGAAGAGCACACACCTGATGTGTCCGCCAAAAATGCCAGTGATCGGGGTCTGAACAAACTCCGCCTGGCGCGTGACTGAAGTCTTGCTCCTGGGGCCCACTTGCTCCCACTCGTCCTCACTGCCTTCGCCCGGCTCGTCCTGCTCGTCTTCGTGCACCGACGGGCTCCTGGGTCCGTTGGAAACGGTGAGTTCTGAAAAGGAGACAGTCCGCTTAGGCCACTCACGGCAACAATGACAGCGAAACAGCTTCCTTAAAAAAAGGTTCTCCGTAAGCCGCCTGCACGGAGTGAGCCTTAAAGGCGACACCAAGGCGCGCTCTGCACAAAGAACAAAGGCGACAGGGACGGATGCCCACCTGAATGCTGCTGGCATAAACCACCAAGGACGGCGCTCCTGGGACAGCCGGAGAGCCGTGAAGACAGACCGGAAGCCAGGCAGCACGGTGGGAGCGCGGCCCGTCTTCCTCACGTGCTAAGGAGCTTTGGTCACATGGGAGAGCACTCTCAGTCTCCGGACACGCATGCTTTGGCCATTTTAGGGGCGAACTAAACTGCTACTTCCCACTTAATTTGTGTCACTCAGGAAATGCGTGCACACACCGTGCGTGGGGACACAGAGAGAGAAAGCACGGCAAGACGTTAACGGGTGCAGAATCCAGCGGCTGCACAGGTATTCACCAAACCATTCTCCCAGCTTTTCCGTATGTTTGATCGTTTTCCTCATTAAAAGCTGAACGAACAAAAGCAGAGGTGCTGGATGTACTCTGATTTACCCAGAGGGAGCATTCTTGGTGGTATAAAAAATAAGCAGTGTAGAGATAACCAGAGTCGCCCTGGTGAGAAAGTGACTCAAAGGGCCAACGATCTGGGGAGGAAGCGGCTTCGTGTACGAACACGCGACATCTGTTCAGAATGAATTCTTGGGGAAATGTTCTCGCGCAATTTTGTGGCCAACAGACCACGACCTACTTTGGTTATTGGGTGACAGAAGTTTCTTCAGGTTCAGCATTTCCTCGTGAAGTCCGTTTAGAATGAAGCCTAAATATTCCTCCGCATCTTCTTGTCGACCCTGAAAAGGCCAGATAGGAACACGTTAATTTTAACTGATCACCACGCAAGGCCTGCAGGGAATACTGAGCCTGCATATTCAGACCAGGTCTCCTCTTCAATTTTTAACAAGACTTAATGTAAAGTGTTTCCAGAAATCATGTGACTTTTTTTTTTTTTTTAAATTTCTTTTTACGTTTTTGAGACAGAGCGCGAGTGGGGGAGGGGCAGAGAGAGAGACAGACAGACAGACACAGAATCGGAAGCAGGCCCCAGGCTCCAAGCCGTCGGCACAGAGCCCGACGCGGGGCTCGAACCCACGAACCGTGAGATCATGACCTGAGCCGAAGCCGGACGCTTAACGGACGGATCCCCCCCAGGCGCCCTTTGCGTGACTTCTTTGTAGGCTGAAACAGGTGGAGTGAGGGGGGCATGGGTGGGGGTGCAAAGTAAACCTTTATGTCTTAAGTGTAGGATGAGGAGGAACTTCCATCTGTTATGTTTTTTCTGGCTTTTTGAAATTTTCTACAATAAATACACGTTACCCTTAGAACAAAACACTTATTGAAAAGTTGCTCTTCTGTGGACACGAAAGGGACGAAAAAGCACCAGACACGAGGGCCCCCTCGTCTCACAGCCCCAGGGGCCAAAGGTCACACTGTGGCTGTGAAGGGGAGCCCGGGTGGTCCTCCCGTTCGCAACGATGGGCAACTACAGGGGAAAGGACCCAAATCACACGTGAAAATCTCTCCTGATTCAAAGGCTCCGCTGACGGGTTTTTTTTACACACACACATCAGCAAATTCATCTCCAGACGAGTCACGCGACAGCCAGATATCTGTTTTATGATCTCAGGATGAGTTCGTATTTCCTTCTTTGGAGAAGGACCGCAGGGACCGAGGATTTCCGAACCCTTCTTTCAGCCTCTGGCGTACCCGCTCCAAACAGGACTCCAAACGGACGGCAGCCGTTGGGCGTGGAGCACGCTCTGTGTGTGCGGCAAAGGGCGGAAACCGGCACGGCTCAGAGGCACAAGGGTCAACGCGGCAGGCCTGACGTTCTCGGGAAGGGCCGCTTGCCGGGTCGGGTCGCTCCCTGGTTGGCATCTGGGAAGTGGGATTTGGGGAGGGTCCCCCCCGCTCCAAGAACTGACAAGGGAATGTGCCTGAATCGTACAACATGGTTTACGCTGAACACCCGCTTTCCTTGTGCAGGTGTGGAATTCTGGTCTGCGCCGGGCAGAGGACGCCTGGGGACCCCGGGCACGGAGTCTCCAATGTGCTTCCCTAGCAGACGGCATCTTTCCACGCGTTGTCGCACTCTGACGCCGAGGAACGAAGCGCGTTCTCTGTGACGCACCAGGACGCGAGTCTCCAGGTTTCCCGCACACCGGACGTCTCGTCTTGCCTTGTGTCCTCGTGCTGTCCTAACCCGATTGTGAGGATAACGGCTTCTGAGTCCTTCCGATAACGGCTGTGACTCACAGCCCTTCCGTCGGACCACCAAGCCTGAGGGTGGCATGGGGGACCCAACACAGCCAGGATGCACCTAACTTCAAAAGACACTTCCGTCCACGAACATGACCTCGGAGCCGGATGTCAGTGGGGCTTGGCCACGGGACGCCCCCTGAACTTCACTGCTTTTCCTGGGCCGCCACCTGAACCGGGTGGCCCGCCTGGGCTTCTCAAGCATCTGCATTTGCATCTATCTTAGGACTTCTTTGCTGTTTCCTTAGATTAAATATCTAATTCCCCTACCGGACGGTGAGCTGTCTGCGGGCAGAGGGTGCAGTGTAATCTGCTTCTGCATTCCCAACATTCCGTACATTCCCGCCACCCCGGAAACGTCAATCTCCAACTGAACGTGGAGAGGCACAGTTCGCACCTACGCCACCCCGGCCACTCACCCTCCGCAAAACAATGGCGCTTCAACACACTTTACTTAGCTTTAATGGAATTTGGGGGGGGATGGTTTTTCTCTCTAAATAATTCCCATAAGTATCATTTCAATTGCTCGTATGGACTCATGACAGACTGTCAGGGAGGAAAGAAAGGCTCCAGTTAACTTTGCAGAAAGGGTATGTAATTCACTCTCGACAGCTGTCGGCGCCCTACGCGAGACCCCCTTGGCCCCTGGTCCCACGCCTTTAGTAGCAAAGTGTGTGACAAAAGATGCAGCTAAGAGAGTCAAGGAGCCGTGTGAGTGTGACGGAGACGCAGCTCTCCCGAATGCCGCCACGGTTCCGGGCCCAAGGACCACGCTCCATGTGAAAGGCCGTGCGGCGGTCAAGGAGCTGGCTGTGATGCCAGGCGCTGCATTTACGAGCTATGTGGCCTTGGAAAAGGATCGCCCTTTTCTCAAATGTAACAACGAGAGGACCACAGGGGGCGAGGTCGGCTAAGGTACGGAAAAAACTTACAAGGGTGCTCAGTGCCCAGTAAGTGATGCACGCCCTGCCTCTGGTTACCAGGACGATCGTCGTATTTTTAAATTTCATTCAAGCAACTGACTCCACAACAAGCCTAAATCTACCGAACACCCACCAAATGGCAGCAATGCAAGTGCAGGGCGAGCACTGAACAAGCAGGGACCGGAGCTACGCGCGAGCAGGGCCAAACCTTTTCAGACAGGCTCGACTTGATCACCGTCAGGAGTCTGTAAATGTACGTAGGTTCAAAAGCAGCTCCAGGGCGGATATCCCTCACGATTTTATCCCCAAGAGCTGCAACGGAACAGGACACAGATTCTCGTCACTGAAACAGAGTCTTAACACGATGAAAGGCAACATCACCAGGGCGCCCCGCCCCCCGCACAGCCCCGCCCCCGCCCCGCCCCCCGCGACGCTGAGAACAGCACAGGTGTAGCGCCGGTTATTTTAAAAACCTTTTCTTTGCGACAAGACCGAACATATGAAATTTAGCCACCTGCCTCCCCAGCCGTCCGTACACAATGGCATCAGGAGGCCTCACCGCTACTCACCTTGTCTGGGTTTTGGAGGTACTGGCATATTAGTAAACTCATTCATTAGCCGAACACTAAACACGGGGGAGAAAAAGTTTAGTACATTTTTGTAAAAGACATCCTTTCACTAGAGACTCTCGATGGCTACTCAGAATATCAGTCAGTATGAAGGTGGCAAGTTTTTGGCAACCGATGCCAGAGTGGTGAGTGGTTCTTCCACCTTTTCTATGTAACTTCCGGAAGATCTTCAGGGACACACACTGGCAAGCACTAAACTGACATGAACAAATCTGAGGAACACAGGCAGTGCTCCAATTCCATTTCTGGTTAGCTTCCACATAAAAACACAAACAGTGAATTTTAAAAAATTAAAAAATTAAAGGACTCATCTGCAAGAAAGTAAGAACGTTGCTAAACTATTTGAATTTGAATTATCAGAGGCGAAACGACCCAGCCCCTGGACACGTCTGGAGGCACCTTACTTACAAGCTATCTATCATGGGTGTCGACGTACAAGGCCTTTGCACTTTCGAATACAGAGGGATGAACTTCATCAGGTGATACATTGGAGGGCAGGCGACCAGTGCCTGCAGCGTCTAAGGAGTGGCAGTAAGGAAGCGTAAAGGAAATGAAACAGACACTCCAAACTTCTGAAAGGCACATTAAACGCAAAGCATGTAAAACTAAGCCAAGGACACTGAAAGACTTACGTATGTAAACTTTCAAGGAATCAACCAAATAACCGTAAGGACAACTGCCTTGCGATTTCCATGTAAGGCCTTACTCGGCAGTCAGCAGTTTACATACAAAAACTTGATTCGACCAAGATGTAGCAATTACAACAATGTCTCCAGCTGTCAGTGGACACGCTACCCTATTACTCGAGGCCATGCTAATGAAAATAAAATTGGCCTCATTCTGTCACTCACCGGTCAACAAATCACCTTTTTGGGGGGCAGGAAGAACTCTATCTTTTAAGCAAGGTAGGCACACTAAGTAAGGAACCAAGTTTTCGGACTCAAAGTTTAAGGCAGAAGCCCCATGGCAGCTGAACTAAGTCAAATGCACCGGAGGAAGAGAACGCCGTGGTCCGCTGGCCTTGGAGACAGCATGTGAGAAGGATACAGCATTAATGTAGCACCAGTTTCCTTTATTGATCAGCCCCCGGGGTTGCAATGACACTGGTTTATGTATTAGGGTCACATTCTCCAGTAACTCTGAAAGAGTGAAGAAGCATATTTAAGAAGTTAACGACATCCAGTAAATAACAGTGAGCGAAATTCCTACACTCTGGAGGAGCGTTAAAATCCCCCTCGAGAAAGCACATATCCAAGGAAAAGGCACACTGTGTTGAAGCTTCACGGGGCCCAATATCGTGTGCAGTAACCAACGATTTAAAATTTTTAAAAATACTCTCCCCCCAAACACTAGGTTTGTTTATCTTTCCATGGGGATCCAACCAGGGAGCAGAGAACTATTTTAACAAGAAACAGAAACGGCTGAACTACATGGGTTAGAGCGAACAGACCTGAGACACACAGGCTCCTCCCCGCACGCTGACAGCGAGGCAGGCCCCGCCAACGGCACAGTCCCTCAAACGCCAGCTACGGAGGAGTTCGAGCGCAGACGGGAGCCTCGTCCGGGGGAAGCCCCCAGCAACTGCCACGGCACCCCACGCACCCCAACGGTGGGCGACCCATCACCGTCCAGGGAGGGGCGACACTCCTTTCTGAGACAGCGGTCTCACGTGGCGCACTCCTCACACAAGGCGTGTGCTCAAACGCCCTCGCTCCAGGCAGAAACACACCTCTCGGCAGATTCGCCCTGACGTCACTCTTCTCTACAGTCGGCAGACAGACGGGACTGCCATCTTCACAGAACGCTCGAGTGGTGCAATTAAACGCCTTAAGTAATTTTTTTCAGTAAAGTGTTAAAACAAGACAAAGCCCCCCCATGTCCCGTTACGAATCTTGTAGTGAAGCCACACAAGTCAAGGACACCTTTTACCCGGGCAAGCGCTCGATGACGTACAAGCGCTAAGGGGCTGCACTGAATCCTCAGCAATCCAGAGGAGCAGCACCATCCCCCTTTCACCAGAAGGAGACGGAGTCTCTAAACCCCCGCCGGCCGGCCTGTGTCACTCGGGAGCTACGGGGCACAGCCGGTGCCTAAAAGCCACGATCTGCAGCCACACCGCTTCCTTTTAAATCGTGTCCCAGAAAAGACAAAGGGAGTGAGCGTACGTGTGATGTCAGCACCCGTCCAAGGCATCCAACAAAAGCAAGCTTCTTAATCCTACACCGCAGCTGGACTGGCAGGTCTCAGACTTGAGCTTTAAATGAGGAAATTAATTTGCACACACACCTATCCCCTCCCTCCTGGGACAGTAAATGTCCTCTTGCCTCTAACTGACGAAGCACAGTGAATGATTTTCCCATTTACAAAAAGTAAAGCATCACAGGCTCCAGAAGACCCGCTGGGACCTGTTCAACTAGTCTGGGCTGGCACAGCTCTCCGCTCCCTCCCCTACTGCGGGCGCAGCGCTGGGCGTCCGTGAGGACCGCGCCAGGTACAGAGCTGGGCCTCGCGCGACATGTGACGCCTCCCGGCAGAGACGGGACAGGGCGTGTGACAAGACAGTGTGCCGCGGGGCTCAGCTGTACCGTTCGTTACTGTGCTCACACCCCTGTCAGGGGGCCACCGCTATCCTGCTCACGTCACAGGCGAGAGAACAGAGGCCCAGAGGGTTAGGGAGCCGGCACGGCTGTGGCCTGAGCTGACGCGTCACCCGCGTCCGCACTGCCCCTCAGCAAGTACCGGGCTCCACGCCACGACCCTTTCTCACAAAGGTTTCAGGGCTCACTTTCCCCACAGGCTTAAGATCTCCTCCTTAAAACAGAGCTGTGTGTTGTGTTTGTGGCGTATTATCATGACGGTCCATACTTGTCAACGTGTGCCCCAGAACGGCAATTATTTAACATAATTATTCCATTAAAAAATCTGTGCACTTCCAAGTGGGCATCCGTCCCAGATGAAGACTCCAGCAGAGGCACGACCCCTGTGAATCTCTGCCACAGCAGCTTTACATCTACGAACAATAATGCTGTTTCTGCCAAACCAGAAGACTCGGAATCAACCGCCTTCTCACCACCAGGACCTCTGCTAACTGACACGCTGCCGCTCGCTGAGCCCCGCCCGGGCACCAGGTCCTGGAAGCACAGAGGTGGCTGAGAGGTGGCCCTGCTGCAGGAGAGCTTGTGGACCAGCGAAAAGGGGACAACGGGGCAGGCTGAACCGAAGGCGGGTCGGCGGACGGGATGCTCGGCCAGATCCACAGACTGGACAACCCGTCAGGCGGCAGGGGGCCGAGGACGGCAAATGGCAGCTGGCACGGCAAGGTCTCCGGCCGGGGCGATGGGGCCTCCCACCCAGAGCAGGCTTCTTGTTGTTGCATACAGTGATGAGGTCACAAGCTCAGTTTCAGAGGTGTGGAAACGAGGTACCCAGATTACACCAGTCGGCAGTGCACGCACACCCACAGAGCGGCAAGTACCACATCTACACACACACACACACACACACACACACACACACACACACAGGCCCACAGCTTGCAGCTGGCACCAGACATCCTCAGCAGCAGTGATGTGTCAGGAGCGGAGCCCTAAGCACCACCCACATGTAAGAGGCAGCCCAAGAAGAACCTAGAAGGACGCGTGGGATTGAATTAACAGTGGAGGCGGAAGCAGGCTCTAGGCCCCCAGGAAGGAGAGCCAGAGCGGAGCGGCCTGAAGCCTGCCTGAGGAGTGAGACAGGACTGGGGTGACGAGGGGCTCACAGGACTGTGGAGGGAGGGAGCCAGGGAAGGACCGACTCACCGCTGGGGAAAGAAAGGAAACAGCAGCCTCCATTTCTTTTGAGGACTGCAAGGAAGGAGCGGCTTCTAGGGTGGGGGAGGGGCAAAGACAGAAGAGGGAGGTGGCTTGGTGACAGGAATTCTTGTTCAGCAAGACACGGAAGGAAAATGCAAAGAAAAGGACCAGAAGATCTGAAATCTCCTCCCGCTACAGAACTGCCTTACCAATAACAGAAAAACATGTTTGCAGACGGTCAAAAGTACTTTGAATTAATATCTTCTTAAATACAAAAAAAAAAAAAAAAATCAACTCCACGCTCAAAAGGAAACAGGTGTGGGGCGCCTGGGTGGCTCAGTCAGTGAAGCGTCGGGTCACTTCGGCTCAGGTCATGATCTCAAGGTTCATGAGTTCACCACGTCGGGCTCTGTGCTGACAGCTCGGATTCTGTGCCTCCCTCACTCTGTGCTCCTCCCCTGCTTATGTTTGCAACCGAGCCACGTGCCCAGAATAATCTGCATACCTGCAGGCTGAAACACTCCAGCCCGGTGCAGTCAGAGAATATACCCAATTTAAAGTTGACTATCAGCTGACTTCTTTCCAACACTGATCTGGGAAGCAGCAGGTACTGGCTGGACAGAAACCTTTAGTTTCTACATCGAATTCTTCCTTCATAACTAAACGCCATTGGGGCCATTGCTCTCAGTTCACTTATTTTTTAAGGGAGGGAAAAAAAAAAGCAGTTTCACTGTTCGGCATCTACAATCTCAAATTCAAGTCTCTCAGCATCACCTAGTGGTTTGCTCAATGACTGCAAGTAACAGAACATTCCAAACAGCCATGTAGCCACAAAATGAACAGGGCAAAAACTCAAAGCACATAATCTGGAACAAAAAGACACTCAGTACATTTACTAGAGGATGTACTGAACTAACTTCAAGTCTTCAACATTCTTTACAAGAGCCTCTGGTACAATATTCAAACATTTGTAGATTAAGGTCTTTATGGTAGAACATACAGAGAAGAAACCATTCCAAACATTCCAGATTTTCCTGAATCATGACACTGCTATTCTAGAACGTTCTCTACAGTGGCAAGTCTTACCCAAGCTAAAATAAAGTTACCATTCTGTCGTTAGCATCTTCCAGTGAGCCTAAACACCACTCTCGAAGGCGGGCTGACTGGAAGCAGTCTTCCCTGAAGGCACACTGCGTATCTCCATGGCAGGAGGCGCCATCACCCCCACCTAGTATCAGACAACCCCGTCACGCCACTAACTGCTCTGCTGAGTCCTTCCCGTGTGCGTACCAGAGCTTCCTGGCCTCCTCGGTCCCGGCCTGATCTTGCCATCCCCACTGATTCCAGCGCATCTCCTACTGGCCTCAGGCCCCACACCTCTCTGCAGATGATTGCTGTCTTTCTGCTAATAAGAGCGGACATCTGTTCCTTTCGTATCTTATTCTTCAGACAACGCTCAAGACGAGGCCAACCATCACTCACTGACCTACAGAGTAGGTGGCATACAGAAAGTAACTATTAAGGGTCATGTGGGGGTGAATTAAACATCTGGAGACTAAAGTTGTTGGTTCCACTCAAGTTTGTTAGAAACGACCTGGTGGAGTTTGAGGGTCATCCTATCACACTGTTCAGAAAGCCTCCAGGCGCCCCTGCAAAGGAGACTCAAGGCACGAGTCCAGGAAGACAACCAGCAGACAACCAGAGTTCAAACCCTGACTCTGCCGCTCCATTCACTTCGCAGCCTGGAACAGAAGACTCCAGCCTCCCTTGTGGCAGAGTCGACAAGCTGCACCGTGCAAGGCCATGAGGTGCGCAGACACGAGAGCACAACGGGTCTACAGAGACACCTAGCAGGATGGCAGGCGCTGATAATCCTTATTATAATAGAAAGAACGGTGGGGCTCCTGGGTGGCTAGTGGGTTAAGCGTCCGACTTCGGCTCGGGTCATGTTCTCACTGTTCGTGGGTTCGAGCCCCACGTCGGGCTCTGTGCTGACAGCTTGGAGCTTGGAGCCTGGAGCCTGCTCCTGATTCTGGGTCTCCCTCTCTCTCTGCCCCTCCCCTGCTCGTGCTCGGTCTCTCTCTCTCAAAAATTAACAAACATTAAAAAACATATGTTTTTTTAAAAAAGAAAAGAAACAACTGATGTAGGCAGGAAGACACGGAAAAAGGAAATTAATTTATGGAAAACTTTGAGCAAACCAACAAATTTCAGTACTGCAAGAAGTTAAATTACTTAAAATTAAGTTTTGGACATTTTGTGAATATACATCAAGTTCCATTTAAAAAGAAATGAAAGTTTGTAAAAAAATTAAAATTAAATATCTCCTCGGGGCGCCTGGGCGGCTAGGTGGGCTAAATGTCCAACTCTTGGTCTCGGCTCAGGTTGTGGTTTCACGTTTTGTGGGTTCGAGCCCCGCATCAGGCTGTGAGCCGACAGCGCGGGGCCTGCTTGGGATTCTCTTTCTCTCCTCCTCTCTCTGCCCCTTCCCTACTCACTCTCTTTCTCTCTCAAAATGAATACACTTAAAAAAAAAAAAAGATGAAATTTCTTCTCATCTGGAACTTCTCTTAAGAAACACACATCCAAACGATGTAAAGGTTTGGTTCTGCAGCACCTGCCACTGGGCCCGCCCCCCTCAACAGCTGCAAAGACCACAACCGGGCGGAACACACACAGACACCTGTGATGCGCTCCTCCTCTCCCTCCCGGCGACACACACGTGCAAAGATCCTAATTCCTATCAAGGGTCACCTGTCACTATTGCTGAATCCTGCCACTTGTAACTCAAGTCAATTCTTCTTGACTTGCAGACAAGCCAGTAGGAATCTGGCTTTGGCCTAACTCTCGGCTACATTTAGTTCAGTTTCTTTTATAACATCACCAAGTGCATTCGCTATTGTATTCCTATCCTGAAGTCCAATAAGCACTCTAACAATTTCTGAGGTCAAAAGAATTAAAACCAGGAAGGGCGGAGCCAAAGGACAAAAGGCAGGGTACTTCCTGACGCTGAAACTTGAAGTGGGACCTGTGAACCCAAAGTCATCACTGTTGGTTCTCTATTTCACCTTTTAAGGCAAATAATCACAAGTTAACTGGAACAACAAACCTCCCCGGAGGCCTTCTTTCCAGTTCATTATTGTCAGTGTAATTTACTACTCAGATCCACCCAGACAGCGGCTGTAGGAAGCTGGCCTCCTCGATCCACCCTTCGCACCGGGCTGGGGGACTGCCCCACGGAACGCTGACTAGAATGGCACAGAATGCCAGAATGATCCATACCACATACAAGGTCCGAAGTGCCTTTGCTTCTGTACCAGCTTAAACATTAAATGGCTGAATTAAAATTAACTTTCTTATGAAATCTGCTGACACACGGAAAAACTGAGTGGTTAACAGCCTTTCTTGTATTTGAAGACATACACAGTGGCTCACGTAAACTGCCACAAGTCATTCCAATGAAATGATTTACAAACCCGGAGGCAACACTTGCACTGTAAACTTTTAAGTCAGTATAAAGCAGGATTATTTTTGTATGTATTTTAGGCATCAAATTTTGTTTTCCTAAAATTAGGATTTAGAGGTCACGGTACCTTTTAAAATCTGTGAAAATGCAGGGCAGAGAACTTTCCTGGATTCTTAAGGCCCAGTAACCGGCCTGTAATCAACATTCTGATGCTGACCTGCTTTTTCTGTCACCTTCCTAAACTGTCCAGAGCATCCTATAAGTGTTTCCCTTTCCCTCATCGCATCACTTTGGAAGGACACAAGCTCTCTTGGGTTACCAAATCAGGAGCAGGACAGCAAAGTGACCAAAACGTACCACTATCTGTTGGCTGCACAGACCAACACACGCTCTGTAAGTAAGTGGAGGGGGGTCTCGATTTAGTTCTGTAAGAGAGAGACGCGGCCCAAATACCAGCAGGACCATAAACACAGTGAATCAGACAGGGACCGAACGCTCCATCCACAAGCATGACTCGTACAAACCGGTGCTGGTACCTTTTCAGCTACATTATGCTACATTATCACTACCTCCGTTGCTCTGGAAAAGCTGAAGAGGAAATACAAAATATTTAAGAAATCATTCCCCTAGGAAAAGGGAAGTATAAATAAATATGGCTTATAAGCCACCAAAATGATCGATCACAAGGTATGTACTTGTTTACATATTTGAAATAAATACGGACACAGGAATTCATTTTTCTGAGCAGATCCAACTTGTAATGATTCTGCTGCTGTCTCCAGGAACAAATTTTAGGTATAAAACCACTGTGCGATTCCATACATTAATAGGTTTTGACTAAAACTCATAATAAACGGTAGCATTAGGGACTTCAATTTCTTCACCAGACAGGTGTATTTTTAGAGCTGTCAAGGACCTCAGTTTACTTCGCTCTTTCCCCCTGGAATTTTAATTCATTTTATTTGGGTTTCAGCCTAGTCCCTCTCCTTGCCCACCATTATTTATACTCCTTTGAGACAAGATACACCGATGCACGATTTTAAAAGCCGAACATAAAATACAAAACAGCTCTATTTGTGACTCGAAAGCATCGGATATAAATGTTTCTTAGCAAAAGCCCAGAAAAGTTAAACATTCGTCACAACACACGGGGAATCCCTGCACTACCTGTGTGTCCCCCACACTTACTCTTAAACGTGGACAGGTCTACGGCTTGGTAACCACTTTCAAGTACAAGCTAAGATTTTCAAGTTTCTTTTCTTCACCTCCTGGTTCAGCTGTTACTACTGAAAAGTGGCAAATATCCCCTCTCAGATTGCAACAAGCAGGCACTGCCACAGAACCCGCCCCCACCCCCAAGCCCATGCAGGCCCCTGCTCCCTGCAGGCTGGAGGAAAGCACTCTGGGGGTCAGCCCAATTGCTCTTCCCTTCCAACTCCTGGAGTAAGAGTTTCTACTTGAGTTCCCACCAATGCAACAAAACGTGGACAACCTACACCAAGAAGGTGAGAGCAGAACCCACTAACATAACGGATCAACACGTACAAGTAGTCGAGAGCTGGCTGTATTTCGGGTCAAAATGCCTTATGTGGTGTTCTTATTGTTTACAGTTGGTTTATCTTCCTAATTTGTATCTCATTGGTGGTTACACAAAAATTAGTTGGCATTTATTAACCACAGACTTAATGACAGGGCAGAGGATCCAGAAATGTGGACATCCAAACTAAATGAACTTGGGATTTAAAAAAAAAAAAAAAATCAAATGTGGATACTGATATTATTCTAAGAATTCAAAACAGAAAAAACTTCTTATCTGAACTATTTCCCTCTCCCTGTTGACCAAAAGTTAATAAATACAATAATCAACATAAAAATTACTCTCTTAGTAGAACCAGTTAGATGCTAATGCTAATTCTGGGATAACCATCAACAGATCTTTTAATGGAACTAGAGTCTCTCTCAGTTAAATGCTGCTTAAAATAAGTGGGCCTACGCTTAAAAACCTGCCCATTCGAGCGAAGTCTGTGGCAGTGATCTTACTCGTAACAAACTGAATTTATTTCACCGTCTTACAAAGTAAACGTCTACACAGGAGCCTATAACAAAGAGGAAGAAATTGCAAACAATAGCACTTTGCCTAAGCTGTGTGTGGTCCCAGGAGTTTAGTGTCGCTGCTACCGCTGCTCTGTTTTACAGGAAGCAATACTCAAAACTACTTTCTATATTTCTAAGCAGCAATTTCTAAGTCTCTATTTCTAAGACTCAATAAAAAGTCTCAAAATAATAAAGTATCTTTTTTTTTTTAAGTTTATTCATTTTTGAGAGACAGAGAGAGACAGAGCGCAAGTGGGAGAGAAGCAGAGACAGACGGAGACACAGAATCCGAAGCAGGCTCCAGGCTCCAAGCTGTCACCAGAGCCTGTCGCGGGGCTCGAACTCACAAACCGCTAGATCATGACCTGAGCCGAAGTCCGATGCTCAACTGACTGAGCCACCCAGGC